ACAAGCAACGACGCGCACGACACACACACACACATGCACAAACACACACACACACACATCACCACGCCAATCAACCACGCCCCCCCCCTTGCCTCCATCAGACGGGCTTGTCATCACCATGCGTGAGGTAGTAGTGCAATCGCCGCAACTGCTCCAGAAACACAAACGTGAGGATCGTTTGTGGGCCCAGACGCGTAAACGCAGGCACCATCCCCCTGAAGAAGGCGAGCGGTCCTTCCTGCTTGAGCGTCATGCCCGCACACTGCAGCGCGCTGCTGTATGTGCCCGGGGTCGCTGCCATCACGCGCGTCTTCACCACGTCGACCGGCTGTGTCAGCAGCGTGGCAACGCCACCGGCAAGCGTCGACGCCGTGAAGTGGGTGACGAGGTTGTCCTTGAACAGGCCGCCAGTTGTTGTCAGCAGCAGCTGCTTGAACGTGTCATATGAGGCGAGCTGCCCCGCCGTCATGAGCATGGCGCGAATCACGTTGGGCCCGAGCCCAGAGTACAACTTGCCAATGCCTTCCTCCCTGATGATGCGAACAAGGGCGTTGCCGATGAAAGCGAACCGCTTGAGTGCCACCTCAGGCTCCAAGATGGTCTGCTGCACAGAAAAGTCGAGGTCGTGCGGCTATGCCACCGCACCCGCCCGCGGTCATGGCTGTTGCAAAGCGCTCGGCAGTCGTCAGCTGCCCGTCAGCCTTGCTGCACGCATGTGTTCGTGTGTGTGTGTGTGTGTGTGTGTGTGTGTGTGTGTGTGTGTGTGTGTGTGTGTGTGTGTGTGTGTGTGTGTGTGTGTGTGTGTGCGTGCGTGTGTGTGTGTGTGTGTGTGTGTGTGTGTGTGTGTGTGTATGTGTGTGTGTGTGTGTGTGTGTGTGTGTGCGTGCGTGCGTGTGTGTGTGTGTGTGTGAGTGTGTGTGTATGTGTGTGCCAGTTCAGGCATCGGCTGCTATTGTACGGGGTGGACGAGACCGACATTACTACACAAGCACGTGTGCATGCACATGCACACACATGCACACACACACACATGCACTCATGCAAGCACATACATACACGCACGCACACGCACACATGCACCTATGCACACATACGAACACACACACCTTGGTCATGAGTTCGTGGATGACGGCACGCTCCGTGCCGGCAGCGCATGTTGCCATGAGCAAACTCCGTGGTAGCTGTGGCAGCTCGGGCTTTGTTGCTTGCACAAGGGCAGCCATATCATCACCGTCACCACCGCCACTACCAAGATCATCGCCCACCGCCACCTGTTTGCCCTTGCTGTTGTCAGCCATCATCACCAGTGTCGTTGCGCGTGTGTTGTGTCCGCCTTTTTTTCTTTTTGTCTCTTTTCCGTGCAACAAGCAGAGAGCAAAGAAGACTTGCCCCACCCTTCCACCACGACCAAAACACACACACACACACACACCCACCCACCCACACACACACACCCACACACACACACACACACACACACACACACACACACACACACACACACACACACACACACACACACACACACAACACAGTTCTACAGTTGGACGCTGTTGAAAGGCTCTTGTAAGCTTAAGCTTGTAAGACGGCTACGAGCAACGCTACGAGCAGCAAGAGGCGAGGATGTGCCAAGCTGCACCCTCGAGCAGTCGAGCTCAAAAAGCAAAGGGCAACAGGGAGTGAGCGGCAAGCAGTTGCTTGTTTGTAACGCGGGAGGAAAGAGGAAGAGGGCGAAGCAGAAGAAGAAGGAAAGGAGAACTTGGGGACTTGAGGAGAGAACTGTGTCAGGTGACAGGGTGACGTGATGTGATGTGATGTCTTGATGTGACCAACTAGCACTCTAGCAGACTGTGAGAGCAAGCTCAACAAACAAACAAACTCCTAGCACGACAAAGTGAACACAACAGAGAGAGGAGAAGAGGGACAACGGGAAGGGGAAAGCCTGGTGTAGCGGGTTTGAGTGGTTGAAGGCACGAAGCAGAAGGAGAACAAGCGAGAATCAAGAACAACACCGGAGGGAATAACGTGAGGGAAGATGCTTGCATGCACTCCTCGAAGAGGGCCTTTCAGTGCAGCAACGATGCTGCCTGATTGTGCAAACACCAATGCTCCAAACATGTTCATGGGATGACTGGGCATCATCCATCCCTTTTGCTAAACCACAAGCATCCGTGCATCCCAGCACTCAACACACATCACTCCTTGCCGTGTCCATCTCCCGCCTCATGCTCCTCCTCCTGCTCATCCTGCGGCTGGTCCAGCTGCTTGGAGCCTTTGCTTGCCTTCCTGCTGAACCGCCACTTCTTCGACAGCTTCTTCTTCTGCTGCTTCTTGTTCTTCGCCTTCACGTGGTCGTCGGAGCGAGTTCGCGCCATTTGTGCAACCTGATGTGTGTGTGTGTGTGTGTGTGTGTGTGTGTGTGTGTGACGTCGGGAACATGTGGTGACCCATGACATGATGTGCATGCTCGTTTCCATAGCAGCAACATCAACAACACCATTGACGGCCATCCACAGATATGGACAAAGGGTGCTATTCACAAGCAAAGACAGAAACTGCTGCTCAACACTCACATACACACGCACACACACAAACACACATACACACAAGCACACACCAACCATGGGGTGCACTGCTTCCTGCTTTGGTGCCGATGCCCGCAGTGCAAAAAAGGCCTCTGGTTCTGTTGTTTCAACAACCTCCCCTTCACAATCACACGAATCAGCAGCATGCGTGTGTGTGTGTGTGTGTGTGTGTGTGTGTGTGTGTGTGTGTGTGTGTGTGTGTGTGCGTGAGAGAGCATGAGCGTGGGCCGGGTTGGTGGGGCACGCCAAGAGCAAAGCAAGCCATGAAACACTCAAACACGAACTCAACAACAGCATATGGAAAGCTCACGCCACGCCATATCGGTGACCCCACCGTGTGCGCGCGGCGGCGTTGCCATCGCCCTCTTTTCGTCTGTCGGCGGAAGCTGTTCGTGCGAGCTGCCGTGACTGCCAAGACCACCGCCACTTGTTGATCGCCGGCCCGACCGCGGTGTGCCGCTGCCGCTTCCAACGAGGCTGGAGCACGACCCGTTAAGGCTCAGCATCCGCGGGCTGCTGCTTGTACTTGAGTGCCGGCTGCGCGCCTGCCCCTTCTGCAATGTGTGTGTGTGTGTGTGCGTGTGTGTGTGCGTGTGCGTGTAAGTGTAAGTGTAAGTGTGCGTGTGCGTGTAAGTGTAAGTGTAAGTGTGTGTGTGTGTGTGTTTGTGTGTGTGTGTGTGTGATAAACGTCTACGCCAACATCTCATACACTCACAAACAAAACAAACACACAAACAAACACACACACACACAAGATTTCCTTGCCACAATCGCCATTCTTCTCCTGCGCACACATCGCCGCCCCCCCCCTCCTTTCTCTTCGCGTGCGCCTGACCTGGATGCGAGACGAGCTAATTGGCTTCGCCAGCACACGTCCAAACGAACTGCCCTTTGCATTTGGCGTTGCCAACGCCATCATGCGATCCACCAGGCTCGTCGTTTGCATATCTGTTGTCGTGAGCACAGGATGCAATGCAAGCATGCGTGTGAACATGTGTATGTGCGTGTGTGCGTGTGTGTAGTTGTGTGTGTGTGTGCGTGTGTGTGTGTGTGTGCGTGCGTGTGTGCGTGAGCGTGTGTGCGTGAGCGTTAACGTGCCAACACAGCATTGTTTGCTTGCAGGCAAAATCGCACCGATCCCACACTGGTTTTTTGCTTGTACGCACCGTCGAAGTCAGACTGCAGCTGCGCCTGCGATGACTGGCGGCGTTTGAGAAATTTGTGCTCGGCGTCACGCAAGGCATCGTTGAAGTTCTGGGTACGATGGAGTGTCACATGAAGAGATGAAGAGTGCAAGGGGAGGGGGGAGTGGTGAAGAACAATCAGGGTGGAAGGTGTTTTGAAGAGCAGAAGATTTGTTGGACCTCGAAGATACAAGCGGTGTTCGGAACCACGCAAACGCACGCAAACACATGCAAACGTACGCAAACGCACGCAAACATACGCAAACATACGCAAGGATTTGCGCATACAACGTCGCGTGACCTCACCTCCACGCGCGCCTGTAGGGATGCCAGCTCCCGCAAACTGTCGTCCTCAATCTGTTTTCGAAACTCTGGGCCTCTGATCTTCCACGCCTCTTCCTGCGACGTGAATGCAGCAACACGCGACTCAATCGGTGTCAGCTCTGTACCTACGCTGTACTCGCCTTCCTGCTGCCACGCGGACTCTGCTGAGCGGTACTGCTGCTGGAAGGCATCCGCTGCCTGGTCGGCAAGCGTCTTGATGCGTGACTGCAGCCCCTCCCAGTCGGCGTCAACAGCAGGCGCCGTCCGCGCCCTCGCTGCCGTGCGTGTAGGGAAATGGTTTGTGTTTAGGCAAGACGGCTAGTGTTGATGTGTGTGTGTGTGTGTGTGATTGTGTGTGTGTGTGATTGTGTGTGATTGTGTGTGTGTGATTGTGTGTGTGTGTGTGTGTGTGATTGTGTGTGTGTGTGTGATTGTGTGTGATTGTGTGTGCGTGATTGTGTGTGTGTGATAGAGACAGAGAGAAAGACAGAGACAGAGAATGCGTGTGTGTTGGTGTTGTGTACATTGGTGACGTGTACTGTATGTTCGTTGTGTGCCAATACGTCAAATAGAGCTTCCCTCCGCTACTCCAACCAACATGCACGTGCAGAACGTACGTGTTGGCTCCTTGGCGGCGCTCATAAAGGCCTCCATGCGTTTCACGACAGACACGCGGGACTCGTCCGCTCTTCCGCCCTATGTGCAACAGATGCATGCAGGCAAGCGAGCATGCAAGCAAAGACGTTGGCTGAGATGATAGGGGCGCTTGTGCATACATGCAGATATGTGGACACACTGTCTGTCGTGCGTGCGTGCGCGCATGAGCTCTCGCTGTCGCCACTCACAGCCAGCGCACATCCTGCTCCTGTATTGCGACCGATGCTTGCAAGCAATGGAAAAAACTGCGCACCTCTGTTCGTTGACGCAGCTCAGACACTTGCTGGGTCACGCGATCGTTGCCGTACGCCTGCACCTCCTCAAGCACTTCGTCAATGTCCTCTGTCGAAGCAGTTATAGAACGAACCACGGTGTGATGACGCGATTTACAGAGTGAGCAGGTGGCGAGGGTTGCGCAAACAAAGCATGAAGGCAAAGGCACCTCGGCAACCACAACAGTATGCACACACACACAATTGAGCAGTGCACCTGTGATTTCATCGAGTTCGCCCTGCATTTGTTCTCGCGTGAGCTGATCCAGCTTGGCCAGACCCTACAGTGTTGATGGAGGATGATGATCATGTCACATGTGTGTATGTGGGTGCGTGTGGGAGTGCATGAGTTGTAGAGTTGTTGTTGTGTGAGCCGTGTAAAGTGTGCTTGTTCGCGGATCATGCAGACAAACGTGACAAGGGACTTCTCTCACCAGCTGGACTTGCTTGTGTCCTTTCACAAGCGCCTCGTGAAGGCTCAAGTACACGAACCCATACTGGATCTGACGTCATTTTGAGTGGGTGTACACGTGTGTGCATGCGAGAAGGGAGGGGGGAGTTGCACATGAGCACATGCGCACATATGCAAGCTGATGTGACGACAAGGATGCACTCGCGATGGGTCGCACAGCACAGCACAGCACAACCCATGCGGCACACGCCTCCCTGAATGCCAATCAAACAGGAAACGGTTGACGCACCACTGTCTGCACCATGAAGTTTCGTGTGCGCCGCAAATCGCTCACGATGTCAACCACACTCAGCGTTGGCGCCAAACTCTCAGCAGCACAGATAAGCCTGTGTGGCAGTGTGGATGGGAGGGAGTGTGTGTGTGTGTTGTGTGTTGTGCGTGTGTATGTGTGTGTGTTGTGCGTGTGTATGTTGTGTGTTGTATTTTGTGTGTGTTGTGTGTGTGTTGTGTTTTGTGTGTGTGTGTGTGTTGTGTGTGTGTGTGTGTTGTGTGTGTGTGTGTGTTGTGTGTGTGTTGTGTTGTGTGTGTGTGTGTGTTGTGTGTGTGTGTGTGTTGTGTGTGTGTGTTGTGTTGTGTGTTGTGTTTTGTGTGTGTGTGTGTATGTGAGCAACAACATTTGACAAATTTACCCCTCCCAACGTTATATGCGCACCTGTCGATGGCAATGTACGTGCCCGTGCGCCCAACGCCAGCACTGCAATGCACAATGAGCGGTGTGTTCGGATCGTGAAGCCGGTATACGTCCTCCCTGGAAACATTTCGACACGCGGGACATGTGTGCAACATGCATGTGCATGTGTGTGTGTGTGTGCAATATGCATGTGCATGTGTGTATGTGTGTGCATGTGCATGTGTGTGGATGTGTGTATGTGGCGTCGATACGTGGGAGGCACAGCACAGCATAAGAATGTAGCAGGAGTGTGTCCTATGCCCATCCATGTAAGCGTTGGGTGCAGTGTACGTGTGCATGTTTGTTGGTGTACCTGAACGCGAGGATTTCACCGGATGTATTTGGAACACCGTGGTCTGGAGCGAGACGTCGACAACGCCAACAAACAGCAGGGTGAGGAATGTGCATCAATCAATCACAGCTGTCCCTCAGTATGCAAGCTTCCACCAGCTCTTATTTCACACGACGCACCTGGCCAGAGAATGAATTGCAGATGCTCCACTCGGTCATGCTGCAGATGAAGAACAGAACACGTGTGAAGTCGTGTCTTGCTTGCATGCAACCGTGTGCCAAAGCATCCCCATAAAGCACCCAAAGGCGTCACACGCACAAACACAAAGAAGCCACAAGGCCACAAGCAGCAAAGCACACATGCAAAAGTGCAAAGAGCCACAAGCTCGCAAGCAAAACAGCACACACCTGCTCTGTCTCGAGATTCTTGAGACGGAATGTGCGGTGGATGTTGTTGCGCGTGGCCTGCTCCTTGATTGTCGTCACCTCAAACACGCCGTACGTCGCCTGTGACCAGGGTTACATGCACGTGAATTAAGCGATGAATCCGCCTACAGCAAGGATTGCTTGATATTGAGTTGGCTGAGACACACACATAGATGACAAGTACACACACACAGACACACAGATGACAAGCACACGATCACGCAAACCGCACACACATGTACACTTATGCCATGCACACGATCACGCAACAAATGCACCCACATAAGCACATGCACCCACATGACACGATACGCACGCAAACACACACACGCACCCATACACCCACGCACTCATACATCCACACCCACAACCACACACACCCACACCCACACCCACACCCACACCCACACCCACACCCACACCCACACGCACACACACCCACACACACACCCACACACACACACACACACACACACACAAACACACACACACACACATCACAAACTCACGGTCTGGTTGAGTTCTGGCCAGTAGCGGTGGCACTTGAGACGGCCTGCCTCCACCTCACTGGCAACCATCACAATCATGTTCACGTCTTGCTCCCACACCATCTGCCAAAAGCTGTTGTGGTGTTGGCGGGGGGGGGGGGTTGAAGAACAGGGTGAATCAAATGAGCGAGTGTGAAAAGCAATCATGCAAGCATGCACGAGCACACAAGCAAGACGACATTGCGCATACTTTGGAAAGGCGTCAGGCACTGGGCCTTGCGAGGCAATGTAGGCGTTCTTCTTGTAATAGCCGTCGACAAAGTTGGCATTCACATAGTCGTTGTGAAAGTTGTGCCTGGCAGTGTGGACGACAGCAACACGCATGACAAGAAGTTGTATGACGTTTTGAAAAACGTGGTGGTAGGTGACGTTCTCGCGTTTGCGCCAGCACATTGCACAGAAATACACAAATGCGCGCACACGCACCCACGCATGCATCCACACACATGCATCCACATACCACAGACACACACGCATGCATAGCACAGATGCATCCACACACATGCATAGCACGCACGCATAGCACGCATGCATAGCACCACACCACACACACACACACACACACACACACACACACACACACGCACGCACGAACGCACACACACACACACAATCACACACACACACGCACGCACGCACGCACACACACACACACATCACACACAGGCATACTTTGCTGGGGTGATCTTGACGCGCGAATGATCGTATGCGACAATGTTCCTGTAGCGGTTCTTGGTGGTGTTCTCCAAGGCCGCAGATGCAGACGCCCGCGTGCCAAGGCCAACCTGTGCATCGGCGCAACGTGTTTGATGGACAGTGAAACGCAGAGCGGTGTGAGGGAAACGTGACGCAACGACCTGCTAGCAAGGCTGATCGATCACAGGGACGAACAGCACACACCTTGGAGATGATGCCAAACTCTTCCTGCCAGCCCGTCTCAGACTCGCGCAGCTGCTTCATGTGGGCGCGCAGCTGGACGATTTGCTGCTGCAGGTACACGTTCAGCTTCTTCAGCTGATCCTCAGTGTACTCCTGCCAATGTGAGAAAGGAAAAAGGTTTGCGTTAGAGAGTGTGTGCATGTGTGCGTTGGAGTGTGCAAGCGTTGGAGTGAACGTGTGTGCGTTGGAGTGCGCAAGCGTTGGAGTGAACGTTGAATAGAAACACACACACACACACACACACACACACGATCACGATCACACACACGATCACGATTATGCACACACGCATTGATCACGCCGCACCTTCTTCTGCTTTCCTTCCTGGAAGTGCCCAAACAAGGGTCATCGCAGTGGCATGGTGTCAGTGAGAAGGATGCAGGATCGAACGGCACCACACACATCACAACAAGAATCACAAGCAAACGATCACAAAGAAGAAGAGACACGATCACATCACATCACACAGCACACACGTCAACACCACACGATCTCCACTGCTGACCTTCTTGCCGCGGTGGGTGGTGGCGCCCCAAACGACGGGCACGCCGCCCTTGCTGGATGAGGCGCCCTGAAGAGATCCAACACAAACATAGGATGATGTGAGAGAATGATGGAAGGACTGTATGGGCGGGGAGGCGGACACCAGGCAGGTGCTGAAGGGAGGGACGGGTGGTGGTGGTGGTGCAGCGCACACACAAACAAACCAAGAAACCAACCATCTGCTTGCTTCGCTGTTGGCTGGCTGGCTGGCTGAGTGCTTGGTCTGTCGTTTGTGTGTGCGTGCAGGCAACGAATGCAATTTGTGTTGTCGCAGGAGGGACAAAGAGTGGCATGGTGGTGGTGGCGCGTCTTTGTTGTGTTGTGTTTCACATTCACACCACAACAACATCTGCCAGCATGTGTCAGGCTAACGTAAACAGAATGTGTAACACAACGACACAATCGGCACTGTCTCCGTGGTCATGATCAACTTCGACTGCGTCAGCTGTGACTGTGCGGTGGCTGTCACGCCATGGACGCAGCGAGCAATGGGCCTGCTCCCCTGCTCCCGTGTGTGGTACACTTGTTGATTGGTTGACGCTGAGTCATGAAGACACATCCGAAAGGAAACAACCCCAACTCCGCTGCATCCCGGTTGCTGAGTGTCTTTCTCTTTCCTTACCTGATCAGGCGCTGCTTGTGCTTATTTTGCACACTCGCTGTGGCCGTTCTACCTTGACATCCACATATCCGTACCTCCCCCTTTTCACTGACGTTGGCTGAATGCGGCGGCAGTATGTCGGTTCTCGACATGACAGAAGCGGAGATGGACCGCGTTATCGCCAGGTTTGAAACCGTTTGGGATGTCTTGGTGGATGGCGCGAAGAAAGCGATGGCTACTGTGAAAGCCGCGTTTGACCTCGTCATGAACGCTTTTTGTCTTGTGGGAGTCGCCATCAGCGAAGTCAAAGTGCTCTCCCGCAACGTCTGGCGGTCAATGATGTGGTCCCACGCCGATTACCTCAAAGAGGCTGAAAAGCATGTTCGACTTGCCCAAAGAGGATACGATCATGCTTGCAACTTGTTGCGCTTGTTCGTTGCTGACTTCAAGGCCGACGAATCACCAGAAATGACGAAGATGGTGAAAGCTGCTCGTGACGCGAGGGACAAAGCCCGACAACAACTTGATGCTGCAAAGGAGAGGTGCGCCAACCTGAAAAGTCAAGCAACTTCCTCTTGAGTGCATTGTGCTGTGTTACCCCCCTCCTTTTCAGTCCCGCTTTACAGTTATGCCCCCTTGACGCCTCCTTTCAATTCCCCCAGTCTCTGTTTGACCTCTCCTACCTGACCACCCCCTGCCTGGCTTCCTCTCCCCTGCCATTCCCTTTTTCCGTTGCGAACCACCGCCTCCGCCAACCAATACAAACCAACTTCTCCTCAGTTCGAATGCACTGGACAACACGTTTACTGCCCACAATGTTTGACTCAGCGCACCAGAGACACACGCAAACACGAAAGACAGAGCACAGAGACACACACACACACACACACATAGACACAGACACAAATACACGCAAACACAAATACACGCAAACACACACACACACACACACACGCGCGCGCGCGCGCGCGCGAAGGAAGGGTCCTAAGGGGAGTGAAGGCGACGTGAACTGTCACGCCACACCCTCTCTCTTTTCGGTTTGTTACGCTCAGCACGCCTCCTTTGCCTCCTTCATCTTGGCGGCCAGCTCATCCGCAAACGCAGGCGTCTTGCAGCTGATCATAAACACCACGGGCTGCACGTGTGTGTGTGTGTGTGTGTGTGTGTGTGTGTGTGTGTGTGTGTGTGTGTGTGTGTGTGTGTGTGTGTGTTATAGTGGTGGTAAAATGTGAGTTTTGCTACAAGCACTGTCTCGGTGGGAAGGTGAGGACGCACAACACACGAAGGCAGAATCATCATCCCTCGCCAGTTGCACGGCGACCAAATACTGCACCTTGTCCTCCGGCTTCTTTGGGTTGAGGGGCGGGTTCGGCACCATGCTCGTCATCACCTGCGCGTATAAGCGTGTGTGTGTGTGTGCGTGTGTGTGTGTGTGTGTGCGTGTGTGCGTGTGTGTGTGTGTGTGTAAAAAGGTTACACGGTCGCAAGTATGCAACACAAATGCATCATCAGATGGACACAGACACAAAATAATCATTCACTTACACACACACACACACATGAAACACACATGAAACACACAAAACACACATCCACCCACCTCGCGTTTGCCGGTTCGGTTGACCGGCGTCTGGGATGCGAGATACACGTTCAGCAGAATCAGCCTGCACCACACCACAGCAAACCCAGCGTGAGCGTGAACGTGAGTGCAAACCAACCCACAACGCAAGACAACGCAAAGCATGCAGCTCAAGTCAGCTACAGCACCCCGCTGTGTCCAGTCACTTGCCATCACAAACCCACCAACCAACCCCTTCCACCACCACCACCACCCACGGCCTCACCCTGTTGTTCCGTCTGCGCGAATGATGACGCGCTTCTTGGTACCGTCCTCGGCATCCTCCAGCCGCAATGTGCCCGTGCCCTTTTCCTTCCACTCAATCTTCCCATCCTCCCCCTTCTGCTGGTACCGCAGCTTCACCCTGTACACGAGCAGCAGCAGCAGCAGCAGCAGCAGCAGGAGAGCATGAGTACGTGTGCTTGCAAGCAAAACATACACACACACATGCACACACACATACATACACACGCGCGCACATACACAAACGTACACACAACGCAAAACCAAGCAGCCAATCACACGTCAAAGTCCCAGTCTCACTCCCATTCCCACCGTGTCTTGTAGAGGACGCCCTCCTCCAGCTCTTCCTTCTCCTCCGGCTGCTGCTGTGATTGCTGCTGCTGCTGCTTCTGAGCACCAGACGACGACGGCGCTGTTACCATCGTCGCCTTGCCTGTGGTGGTGGTGGTGGTGATGATGATGACGTGTGAGGTACCTTCCAACGCTTCATTGTGCCTTTCTTGCATCCACCAATCTTCTTTCCCAACACCACTTCTTTCGCAAACACACACACACACACCCAGCACGGCACCTGCTGTGAGGATGGTCTTTGCCTGGTCGACATAGCTCAGGAGCGTCGGCGTAAAGTCAAGCACCCCAGCACTTGCAGCAGTCTGCACACACACACACACACACGCCATTGATGAGCATGTAACATCAACACACACACACACATCGCCTGCACACACACACACACACACACACACACACACCCAGCCCCACCTGCTCCTTGAGAAAGGAGAGGAGCGAGTCATTGAGGCCTTGCATCTTCGTCTTCTGCTCGTCCGTCAGATCACTGCCACCATCGCCATCCGTCGCCTTTGCTGATGTCGCTGCTGGTGCTGGTGGGGTGGTTGTAGTTGGCTTGAACGTGCCCACCTTGCCAAAGACAGCGCCCTGTGCGGGCTTGAGCTTGCTGCCGCCGCCGCTGCCACCAAAAATGGAGGACAGGCCAGGCAGCTTCCCCGTGGGCTTGCCAAAGGTGAATTTGGGCGCAGGCGACTCGTCATCACCAGACTTGTTCTTCTTCCGCTTGTTGTCTCCATCGTCGTCCTCATCCGTGTCTGTGTCCGTGTTGTCTTCATCCTCATCGCTCCCTGTCTCCTCATCATCCTCATCACCATCACCAGCGTTGCTGCCTTCCTCTTCGTCCTCTTCCTCGTCCTCCTTCTTGTTGTCGTCATCATCGTCACCACCCGTCTTCTTGCTGCCGCCACCAAACACCTTTGCGGCCTGCCCAAACGCAGACTTGGCACTCGCAGGCTTCGCTTTTGCACCGCCAAACGAAAACCCCCCACTGCCGCTGCCGCTGCTGGTGATAGCGCCCGTTTTTGCGCCAAACTTGAACGTTGGTCCACTGCTTGCCGCCGTGTCTTTCTCCTTGCCCTTGTCCTTGTCGTCTCCTGATGATGACGCTGCTGCTGCTGCTGCTGCTGCTGCTGTTACTGGCTTGGCTGGCCCGCCAAACTTGAACGGCGAAGTGGCCGAAGAGGAGGAGGATGTCGATGTCGACGAAGCAGCGCCCCCAAAGGCTGGTGTGGTCTTGGGCGTGCCGGTGGACGACGACGATGCCGACGACGATGGCGCTGCGCCAAAGCTGCCGGGGCTCGCTGTGCCAGTGGCACGGTGGTTGGAGTGTATAATCGTGAGTGAGTGAGTGAGTGAGTGAGTGAGTGAGTGAGTGAGTGAGTGAGTGAGTGTGTGTGTGTGTGTGAGTGAGTGAGTGTGTGTGTGTGAGTGAGTGAGTGTGTGTGTGTGAGTGAGTGAGTGAGTGTGTGTGAGTGAGTGAGTGTGTGAGTGAGTGTGTGAGTGAGTGAGTGAGTGAGTGAGTGAGTGAGTCAACAAGTGCATGAATAGACAGTAAGAGAGAGAGAGAGAGCAAGCGCTCTACAGCAAGGTCATGAGCAGGGTCGCTTGTCCGCTCCGCTGGTGCGCTGTCGACAGGCAATATTCTTACCTGATAGGCCTTTGAACTGGGAGACGCCCTTCACGGCTGCAGAGCCGAAGCCTTTGAAGCCCGCGAATGCACCCTTGCTGGCACTCTGCCAGTACCGAGAAGAGGCCAAGAACAAGCACGGCATGAGGCTGGACAAAAAGAAGGGCAGGGCTGAGTCATGCATCCACTACGTCTGACAAAATAGCAGCACAAGTGGCATGTCGACGTGCAAAAGGTCAGCTTACGGATGAGCCAGTGGACGAGGATGAGGAGCGGCGGGCCTGTGCAATCCTGTGGGCAGCGTGTACACACATATTTGTTTGAAGCGGGGTGGGCGTGTTCGGGGAGGAAGATGTCGATGGTGCCAGCCAAGCATAATGAGTGCACACGAGCTGGGGAACGCCGTGGCTGGCAAGTGCGTTAACCACGTCGACACACCAAGCAGGACACACATGCAGACACGACGGGTGTGCAGCGTGGCCTCCAACAAACCAACCGCCCAACAAGCGTCCATTTCCCTTGCCTCACACACACACACACACACACACACACACACACACACACACACACACACACACACACACACACACCTGCGCTGTGAGACGACGTCCTTGGAAGCGCGAAGGAATGGGCCACTGCCGCCCTCGTTGGCGTCCCCGTCATCGTCAGGGTCATCCGCAGTAATTTGCTTGTCTGGGCGACGCTTGGCAGACATGGTTGGGTGTTGCTTTCCTCCGTGCTTGCAGAGAACCTGCCACCAACAGACACACACAGACACACACAGACACACAGACACACAGACACAGACACACAGACACACAGACACAGACACAGACACACAGACACACAGACACAGACACACACACACACACACACACACACACACACACACACACACACACAGGCAAGTGTCAGTAGAGTGAGCAATGAGCAACGCGTGCACTGGGTTTCTTGTCCGGGCCTTGGCACGAGACACTAACAACAACAACAACACCAAACAAGGCCAGTGAAGTCACAAGTCGCCTGCATGCTCCATGCTCTGCGCTCACCCTCTATGGCGTCTTTCAGGCACCAACGTCAACGAAAGTTTATAGAAATCATCCAGTATTATTCATCAGAGCTGGCAGATGCGCAGAACCACCACCACCTGCTTCTTGGCTTGCTTTGCTTGTGTCGTGCACGGCACATCGATCCATCACATCACGGCGTCGCATCGCCACTTCCTGTGCTTGCTTGTCTTGTGTCACAAAGGGTTTCGTTTGATTGACTGCATCACACAACACAACACACACACACACACGATAGCTGACAGGGAACTACAAACGAGGCTTTCATATCACGCAGCTGCACGATGGACAACACGACGGACGAACAGAAAAAAACGACAGGGCGATAAGACGAGACACAGCAAGACGCGCGCACGCACACAACACACAAGCGCTGGCTTGCGTTGGAGTTTAGTAGATCATCAAGAACAGAGAGACAAGAGAGAAGAAGGGAGCCGAGAAAAAGGGAAAGGAAAAGGGGGCAAAGGCAGGGTGGACGGACCTGCCCCAACCGCCACAACAACCGAAGCAAGCAAAGACTCAGGTCAACCACAAACGACAAGCGAGGAAAGCAGGCGTCGCGTGTTTACCACGAGACCTTGTCCTCGGTCTTGACAAGCTTAAAGTACTGCTGGCCGCAGGGGCAGGCCTGGGCATCACCACCCTTGACGTAGAAGTACTTGACAAGCTCAGACTCGGGGTCGCCTGCACGTGCGGAGTGTCATGCGTCGGACAAGGGACAGGCGTGAGTGGCGGCAGAGGGTGTGTGCACAGAGGGTGTGTGTTGTCAGCGAGCGAGCGAGAGGGAGGGAGGGGGGAGAGACAGAGAGGAGAGAGGAGAGAGAGAGAGGTTGCGCGTGAGCCACCAGAACTTGTGGGCGGCCAACACACGGCTGGACAGAGAACCCGTGTCAGTGAGGGCAAAGGCACAAGAGCGGCATGTAAACGCAGCGTGGAACGTACAGCAGCAGCCGACGAGGCGAGAGTCAAAGTGGGAGGGGATCTCGCGGGGCTCGGCCTTGGTGCCGGCGGGGCCCCACTTGATGCCCTCAAGGCCAAAGGGATCCTGCGAGTGAAAGTCGTTCGGGGCATGAGACAAGAGGGTGTAGGAGAGATGTGGACGGACAGTTGTTCGCGTGCAAGCATGGGTGAGTTGTTGGTGGTGTTTTAACAAGGCAGGGTATGGAATTGATGGAGGCAGTGTTGGTCGCACAAAGGACGAGTGCGAGCAACAGTTGGCATCGGCACGCAATAGTATCAAAGGAGACGCGACGAATGGATACAATACAGCTGAGCACACACAGAGCACAACTAACACTTCGAACACCCACACCCACACACAGAGCACAACTAACACATTGAACACACACACACAGAGTACAACACACAAGCGCCCAAAGGCACACAGCACAACCCACACCCACAAGCACAAACTGACCGTGTTGCCCTTGGCGAGCTCGAGAAGCTCAAGGCGCTCCAGGCCGGTTGCCTGCTCGTGGTTGTCGGGAACGCGGCCAGTCACGCCATAGCCGTCCTGGCTGTCCTTGGGATCGGAAGACTTGGTAATCTCTGCAGAAGCACACATGTGTGCACACACACACACACAAACAAAAAGGTGAGAAGGCGGCAGGATGGTGACGCAGCAACGAAGTGCGCGAGGGTTGGACAGATAACAAAGACGGCAACAACATAGGCGCCGTGTCATCGCACTGCAAAACACGGTCACCACAACGTACGCTGACCAGGTGACCACCGCCCGATCCCCGTTTTCACACACACACGCACACACACATGGGCAGAATTCAGGTGTTGCGCTTACCCTGAAGCTTCTGTTCAACCTTGGCCGGGTCGGAAGCAAGGGTGACGCGAGCAGTGTGCACGCGGCGAGCAGCAGCGGCGACACGGGAAACTCGGGCAAGGCGCATCATCTTGGCGGACAAAAAGGGGTGTGTATGATGTGTGCTGGGCTAAGCGATTCAGAGGAGATGCCTGCATGGAGTTGTGTTGACAGTGCCAGTGGCAGGTGTCAGAAAGAGTCGTGTGATGTGATGTGAGAGCGAGCACTATGTGCACCGTGTGCGTGCGTGTGCGTTGTATGTGTGTGTGTGTGTGTGTGGAATGCACTGGACAAAATCAACGCATAGCTGCAGCAATCACCGTCATCACCGTCGCCATCTCCTGCATCGTTCATGTCAGTGACCACCACAGCGTCACCACCACCATCTTCGCTCGTCCTCACTCCCAATCGCTACACGTGACACCGCCACCACTACCGTCACACGCGGCCAGAGGCATCGCCATCACCACCACCACTACCACCACCACCACACAGCTATCACCATCACCATCACCATCACCATCACCATCACTGCCCTGCCCGTCCTCATGCCAAGGCAAAGCACATCGAGACCAAAGCAACGAAGAAGCAAGCAGCACCCGCTGCCCTCATCTTGGCTGCTTGCGTCTTGGCCACTCACCAGTTCACAATACAGAGAGCACGAGGAAAAATAGGCGAAATCGTTAACAAAACCTCCCTCAACCCCCAACGACCGACCGCAACTTTGCCTTCGCACGGCAACATCAAAGGCAAACCTGCCTTTGGTGGCCGGCACCACACAAAAAACCCAAACACAAACACACAGCGCGGGCTGATTTCCGCGCAACCCTTCTTCCCATACACCCGTGCTCCGTGTTTCGTGCTCTGCACCTCACCAGCTCCAGCAGCACCAACCACCTCTCAACTCACGAGCCAACATGAGCTACGAGGAGGACGACGAGGATCGCTCGTGAGTGGCGACACACACACACACATACACACATACACACTGTGCCTTGTTGCATGTTTGTATCTGAGGAACGACTGCGTCGTCTCGCAAGGCCACCAACAACCGACAAGCCACCACGGCAGCCACACGGGCAACCTCACCCCATCCCCGCTCGTGCGTGCAGGTACTACCATGGGCGCATTTCGCGAGACGAGGCCGTGTCGCGGCTCCACGAAGGCGGCAAGGATGGCTCGTTCCTGCTGCGCATGAGCGAATCACAGGACGGCGTCTACACCGTCTCTGTCATGTGAGGCTGCGTGCCTGTTTGCGGATGCGTTTCATGTCTGCCACAAATAGCGGTGGTGTGGCTGATCCACCAGCCTTTCCTTGCTCGGAAACAAACCGCATCTCACTCAACACACTCTCTGCATGTGCTCGGTGTGCTCGTGCGTTTGTACGCTTGTGCATGTGCAGGCAAGGGACTGCTGTGCGTCACATTCGTGTCATCAACAAGGACGACGGTGCGTTGTTGAAGTGCGGTGCAGTGCCGCTTATTTATTTTATCACCCCATGACCGGTGATGAGAAAGAAAGGATGGGGGCAGGCTTGTGCTCACATCGTGCCTCTTTGCAACACGGGTTCGCTTGAATTGAACGCATGCGTCACAGGAGGATATGCCTTGAGCCCCGCCGATCCAAGCGTGCCCTCCGTCTGGGAACTCATCCAACGGCAGATGAACAGAACACTCACCAACTCCTTTGACACATACGACAACGTCGCCTTGAGGTGCGTGTACGAGCGTGTACACGTGTGTGTGTGTGTGTGTGTGTGTGTGTGTGAGAGCGTGTGTGTGTGTGTGTGTGTGTGCGTGTGCGTGTGAGAGCGTGTGTGTGTGTGTGTGTGTGTGTGTGTGTGCCTTGGAAACGTTTTCACGCACGTGCTTGCCTCTTCCACACTGAAGCCCGCACATTCTCACACATGTCCATCCATCCTTACACACACATCCATACACACATCCATACACACACACACACACACACACACACACACACACACACACACACACACGTGCTTGTTGCCATTTGCCTGCAGGCATCCGCTGCAGGCGCCGGGCAGCGTGATTGCGCCCGATCTGCTGTGCAAGGCGGAGGAGGCCGGCATGGACGCGTCGGAGTTTGACCAGGACGTCGCCGCGTTCCTCGAGGGCGGGGTGCGATGATGATGATGATGATGATGATGATGCTGTGCTTGTGTCCGCGTTGTGTGGTGTTTTTGCTGGTTTTTTTGTTGTGTTGTGTTTGCCATGTTGTGTACCTGTCCCCGTGTACCCACGTGCGTGTGCTGCATTCAACCCCCCGCGTCCAATCTCACGAGCGCCCATTCGTCGTATTGTCGCGTTCACCACGCCAGGTTGACAGCAAAGAGCTTGTTCGCCGCCGCTCCAAGAAATACGGCCCACGCGGCAAACCCCAGTCGGATATGGTAAGCCCACAGCACAACCCGTTCTGTGCAGTGGCCTGCAGACACGTGTTTACGCATGCGTGTTTGCGTGCGTGTGTGTGTGTGTGTGTGTGCGTGTGCGTGTGTGTGTGCGCGCGCGTGTGTGTGTGCGTGTGGTGTGTGCGTGTGTGCGTGCGTGTGCGTGTGCGTGTGTGTGTGCGTGTGCGTGTGCGTGTGTGTGTGTGTAAACATGTACTTGAACGCCTCATCATTCGACGACACATCCCCCGCCCTCACATCAACCTTGTTGTTGCCTGCATGCATCAGGTGCGCGATGCCCTCGGCACCGTTGACAGCGACGTCGAGCGCTTCATGAACGGCGGAATCAGTGCGTCACATCCACATGTGATGTGACGATCTTGTGATCCATCCCGTGTGTGCGCGCGCGTGTGTGTATGTCTGTTCAAATGTGTGTGTGTGTATGTGTGTGTGTGTCAGTTCTTTAGCAAGTACACCATCGTATTGCTCACCACCCACCACCATCACCATCACAACTCCCTTCACAATCTCCATCTGTCATCAGGTGCGAATGAGCTGCATCGTCGCCGATCTGTCAACACCCGGCCCGCGGTACGTGACCGGTTATGACAGTGAGAGACAGAGACAGCGAGAGGCACAGCGAGACAGAGAGACTGGGAGAGAGGCACACACAGGGAGATTGGGGGGCAGGGGTGCAGCAGGAAGAGTGGTTGATGTTGGCGAATTGCGTTTGTTGATGTTGAATTTGCACTCTGAACTTCATACAATACACACGCAGACACATACAGACACACAGACACACACACACACAAGCAGACACACACACACACACACACACACACATAGACACACAGAGACACACAGACACAGACAAGCAGACACACACACACACGGACCCACATAGACGCACAGAGATGAACTCACGTTCCTTGTGCGCCCATGTATGTGTGTGCGCGTGTACATGTGTCTAGCGGTCGTCGTTGCCGGCTGTGCAGGAGGCTGGAGCGCGCAGCTGGTGAGATGACTGTCAATGCCAACCTGGTGGTCGCGGCGCGTTTGCTGTATTGTGCGCTTGCTTGTGTCTTGGGTTCATCAACCCACCAATAACACGCACACAAACACGCACACTGCAAGACTTTTGACACACACACACACACACACGCACACACACACACACACACACGCACTTGCAGATAAAACGCCGGCTACTTCTGCATCGTCGTCATCATCATCATTGTCGCCTTTGTTGTTGTGTGCTGTGTGCACTCTCACACATACGCAACAGCGCCACTCACTCCTTCGTGTTACCGCCATTCACTCTTGACCTGTTTCTTCTTGCTGGCTTGCTTTCGTTCCCATCGCTCTTTGTCGCACACTCGCACTTCCCCTCGGCCGTCGCATTGGCAGTTCACCCACTGCTATGTCGTCGTCAACCTCGGGATCTGATGTGCGTCGCTGTGCTTGTTTGTGTCACTCAACAAACGACCACAGCCACAACCTCTCCCACACAACGCATAATTGGTGTTGCTTTTTTTTTTTTTTTTTTGGCTTAGTTTCGTCTTGAATCACCACACATCATCATCACGACTCCAGCCTCAGCCCCGCATGCCTGCCTTCGTTCGTTCCCTCTTCTCCGTTAGCTCTCCGCCGCCCTCTGAACACCACAAGATGTGTGCACGTGGTTAATTGCTTCATTTACTCTGCAGAACATTCACCATTGAATCCCAGGCAAACCCACAAACAAACACGTGCATGAAACGAAACAAAAACACAGACCCACGACACACGTCAACGCATTAAATGCAAATGGAAATGTGTAAAATGGATTGGTGGACGTGCTAACACGCATGCACACGCGCAACAGTGGAAGATGAAGCATTCCAAACAACACAAACAAGCAAAAAAAAAAAAAGACGCTTGGAACGCACGCACAGACACACAATACAGGAAGGAAGCAAGAGGCAAAGCAGTGTACAAGCCCCAAAACATCGCAACCAACGACGACACTTGCTTGCCTGTTGCTCACTACTACATGCATGCAACAACAACAACAACAACAGCAATGCAGCTTTACATGTGCTTTCATTGGTCAGGCGGCAGTTTCCATCCTCCCCATCGTTGTTCTTCAGCCGCTCCCGTTTCTGGTTTCATCAACCACACACACACACACACAAGCACGCACACACAAGCACGCACACACACACACACACACACACACACACACACACACACACACACACACACACACACACACACACACACACACACACACACACGCACACAGTCCATGGCCTTCATGTTTCTCCCTCCATCATCACAGTCAGTCACTCATCATGCTCCACCTCCCCTGCCTCCTTCTGTCAATCGCCGTACCCCTTCAGTGCGGGTGTGGGGGTGTGGTCATGCCTGGTGGCGGCGGCAGCGTCATGGCGTGCGTGCCCTTTGGTGTCGTGGGCCCAGACAGCGTGAGCCTGTCCATGCTAAGCGTGCCCACGCCGTGACTAGAGGCCGACGATGGGCGGGACGACCGTGAGGACCGTGTTGCGTTCTCCTTGTCTGCGTGCTGCGTCTGCGTCATGCCAGCACCACATACGACCCCGTTGGGGGCGTTGCCACCCTTGGCGCCGCTCACGCTTGGCGGGCGCTGCGAACGGGACGACGACGACGGTGTTGCACTTGACGCCCCCGTACTCGGCGTTGTGGACGTGGACGCGGATGCAGCAACACCACCGCCGTTGGTGCTGGTTGGTGTCATTGTCGTTGTTGGCTGTTGCGTCTTCACCTGCTGCTGTTCGGGAACACGCACGGCACCCTCGACGTCCCGCGTCCTGGCAGCAGACTTGCCTCCGTTCTTGCCCGTTGGCTGTTGCTGTTGCTGCTGCTGCTGAGGCTGGTGCTGGTGCTGGTGCTGGTGCTGGTGTTGCTGTTGCTGTTGCGACTGCTGTTGCTGTTGCGTGCCCGCGGTGCGGTGATGGGCGTGTGGGTGCGTGTCCTCGTCGCCCTCAGAGGACCACCGGCTATGGCGGCCGCTGCTGCCGCCATGGTGGTGGTGGTGGTGGGATGTGGGCACGGGTGGGAGGGGCAGTTCGTACAGCTGGTGCATGATGGGTTGCACGAGCTCGGGCACAGTCACCAGCACAAGGTGGTCCGCGCCTGTGGACAGGTCGCGGGTTGGTGAGGTTGAGTGAGGAGGTGAGGTTGGGTCATGGGACAGTGATGGAGTGGTGAAAGTAGTGAAGAACGCACAGTGAATGCAGACTGCGTGTGCTGTTCCGATTGCGCTTACATGCATGCATACCTTGTTCCCACATGAGGCGGCTGCCAAACGCGTCATTCACCATCGCAGAGAGCGTTGCAAAGTGGTACGACAGGCGGCGCTTCTGTTGTTGCAGACAGTGAGAGGGGGGGGGGCGTGGATGAAGAGCGTGGATGAAGAGAAAGGACGGACATGAAGAAGGGGAGCGAGTGAGGAATGGCAAGGCGACAAGGAAAGTAGCGAGGACGAGCTGCAGCACACACGTGCACACACACACACACACACAGACACACAGACACAGACACACACAGACGGACAGACACACACACACACAGACGGACAGACGGACAGACAGACAGACACCACACACACACACACACACACACACACACACACACTACGCAGACACAACCTCCAGCACAACAGTGCAACGCACCAGCATGTTGTTGCACTGGATGGGAAACATCTGGGCCTGCGCGGAGTACTGCGGGTGGACGTACATGACCCCGCCCATGCCCATGCCATCTGCGGAAGGGAATGAGGGCTGGGAGCCTGGCGTCATGGCGTTGAACGGGCCTGTCGTGGGCGTTGGTGGCCCGTAATATCCGCCATAAGGGGCACCGCCCTGCGCAGTCGTGACAACAGCGCCCGTGCTCGTGTAGGGCATGCCTGACGGTGGCTGCTGCTGGTGCTGCTGTGATGGTGGTAGCTGCTGTTGCTGGCCCATCACGTGTGGTGGCTGCTGGTGGTACGGAGGGAATTGCTGGGGTTGAAACTGTGCTGGATGCTGTGTTGGGGACAGCAACACAGGATGATGCTGCTGCTGCTGCTGCTGCTGCTGTGCATACATTGCCTGCTGTGGTGAAGACGTGGCACCCTGTGCACGCTGCTGCTGTGGCTGTTGTGGGTGCAGTTGCTGCTGAGCACCACCGCCACTGCGCCTGTCGGTGAACGGCGAGCCGGGCTGTGACGTGGATGATGA